TGGAATTTGGAGCGTCGGATCGAATTTCTCCTCAACGGCCAAGATCGGAGGTGAAATTGAGTAAGGGAGAATTACGCGACGTACGGAATCCGCGCTCAACAATTCTACTGTCGATTCGTTTCGTAGTAAGTCGACCAGCGCACATAATCGAGTTAGTTTCGTCACAAATCTTCCAGAAAATCCCCAAATGGAGGAAAATGGTGATAATTTCGTACAAAAAATTACGGAGTTACGCACCGACCTGGACCAGACGCGAGCAGCACTCCAACGAATTGAGGCGATAGTCGCGAACCAATCGCCAGCCGCCACAGCAGCAGCGAACTCACCGGCGAATGCAGCAGCGACAGCAGTAGCAGCAGCAGCGGCGACACCGACAATTGTACTTGCGACAACGGCAGGAGCTACAGTTAACCTCGAAACAGCGAAGCCGAGGCAACCAGAGGCGTTCGATCCTATAGTGAAATGGAGCGACGTTCGTCGATTCGTAGCTGAACTCGAAATTTACTTCGAAGCCGTTGGATGCACGACCCCCACCCATGACGCGATGCGCATACGGCTCGCAGCAACACTATTACGAGGCCCAGCTTTAGAGTGGATAACAACAAAATTGTCCAAGGCAAAGGGACGTGGGCGCAGTTTCGGGCAGCAATGATCGAACACTTCGACGCTTTGAACAGTAGCTACTACGGAACACGATGCAACCAGCCAAATAGTGGCATGGAGCGATCGGCACCACCCACGACTGTCGACCCGATGGAGAACGACAAGGGCGATCTGAAGCAGCGGCTAGCAAAAAATGAGACGTGCAAATTTTGCGGCGCTACAGGACATCGTATCTTGGCGTGTTGGGAAATGAAGAAAGCACGTGCGGAGCTGAAATGAAAGAACAGTGCGGCACCCCCGAAGCAAAAAACAGACAACGTGGCAACTTCGGAGAGGGCGAAAAAATGAAAATATGATGGGGCGAATTTATAACGTCACGACCAGCCGGCACCAGGGGAAATCGCCGAGACAAAAAGAGACCCAGTGAAACAAGACCCTGCACCGATCGGGAAACTCGGTACACCCGGACAAGTTAGAATTCGTTAAAGTTGTCCTATAAAGATACTTTAACTAAGAACATTACTTCTCGTGGTTTTCAAGCCTTTATTAAGGGAGAGTAATAAATTATACCGGTACCGGGTAAAATGGGGACCCCACTCCGGAGCGGTGATAAGGGTCGAGCGTTCCGAGGAGTTAATATTCTCTCCCAGCAGCACGGTGTTAAGGCTCCCTGCCGTTCCCCACAGGTGAAGCCTACATGGCTGCAAAGGCTTAGGGGAAAGTTCCAGGCCCAGGAGAAGCTGAATCGGCCTCGGATAAATCCTTCTAACCCTACCCAGTTGAAAACTCATACTGAGTCGGCAGCTTCGAGCGCACGACCTAGGGAAGATATATTCGATGTTCCCTATGATCCTATAAGCGAGACCATCTATGGCTACGCGGAGCAGCAGCAGCTACTACTCCTCGAGTTGCTCTGCAAAGGGCGACGCCTCAAGGCATTGGTGGTCAGTGGTGCGTCCCACTCGGTGTGCGACCGCAAGACGTTGGAGAAAATTGAGGAGTCCTCGGAGGAGACCCGGTTTACAGCAACGATGGTGGATAGTACGAAGCTTCCCATCCACGGCGAGTCAATACTGCAGCTGCAGATAGGGGCGTTGAGGTGGAAGCCGACGTTGGCGATCACGAACATCAAAGGGTTAGATTTCATCTTGGGGCGTGACTTTCTGAAGCGGTTCAACCCCGAGATCGGCTGGGTCAACCGGAAGGCGTGCATCTACAACAATGGGGAACGTTTGGAGCTGCGAAGCTGGACGGATACAGGGGATGTACCAGAAACGACACTAGCACGGTTCGAACGGAAAGTGAACGAGAGTAGCACGGGTTACTTAGCACTAGTGATGGCTGTCTGAAAACCAACACTGGGGATGCCTGATTGATCCTAGGGAAGGGTTACAGGCTCGCTGGCCTGGGGGGTCATGGGCGCACTGACCCGCTACTTAACAAGCCCTTTTATCCCACTGGTCTAGTGGTTGGGATTCTGACATGGTATTAGAGCGAAGGTCTCGGGTTCGAATCCCCATGTGTGCACATGTTGGCGCTGCCGCTGTGCCGTGTCCTAGGGCATCCCTGTGCGGGAGGGTGTCTGAAAACCAACACTGGGGATGCCCGATTGATCATAGGGAAGGGTTACAGGCTCGCTGGCCTGGGGGATAATGGGCGCACTGATCCGCTACTTAACAAGCCCTTTTATCCCAATGGTCTAGTGGTTGGGATTCTGACAATGGCAGCAACAGAGGAGGAGAAGCCGAACTCGGAGCTACCTGCAGCAGTACAGGAGGTGTTAGCAGAATACAAGGACATCATGCCAGACCACCTGCCAGCAGGAGTGCCTCCAGCGCGAACCCACGAGCACAAGATCGTTGAGGAACCAGGTGCGAAACCCGTCTCCCGTGCACCATACCGCCTTACTCCAACCGAACGGACAGACATGAAGAAACATATTGAATATCTACTAGACAGACAACTGATCTGCCCATCCACCTCTCCCTTCCGCGCACCGATTCTCTTCACTCCAAAGCCGGACGGCAGTTTATGGATGTGCATCGACTACCAGGCACTGAACAAACAGATAGTCAAGAACAAATACCCCATACTGCGCATAGCCGATCTTCTAGACCAACTGCGTGGTGCAACGGTGTTTTCGAAGCTGGACCTATGGTCGGGTTACTGGCAGATCAAGATGGAAGACAACTCGATCCACAAGTCGGCGTTCCGTACCAGATACAACTCCTACGAATACTTGGTGATGCCGTTCGGACTCTACAACGTACCAGCGACATTTCAGGCGGAGATAAATCACATCGTACGGCCTTTGCTGGACGAGTGCGTGGTGGTGTACCTGGGAGACATTCTCATCTACTCTAATAACATGAAGGAGCACGAGGAGCATCTGCTGAAAGTCTTCGAGATCCGGCGGGAGATCAAGTTCTACGTGAAGCTGTCAAAGAGCGATTTCGCCCTGAAGAAGGTCCAGTTTCTCGGGCACATGGTGAGTGCCGAGGGCTTACAGGTGGACCCGCGGAAGATCGAAGCCGTCAAGAAGTGGAGAGTTCCTGAGAACGTCAAGGAGTTGCAGCAGTTCATAGGCTTCGCCAACTACTACAACAGGTTCGTGCCACTGTACGCTAAAATAGCAGCGCCACTGACGAACTTACTGAAATAGGATACGCCCTATAAATGGGATACTCCTCAACAGCAAGCCATGGATCAGCTACTGACAGCACTGACTACTGCCCCAACACTCATCCTACCTGATCCAGACAGAGATTACGTGGTGGATGCAGACACTAGTGACCAGGCAGTCGGAGCAGCATTGATGCAGGATCATGGACGCGGTTTGCAGCCCATCGCCTACCTCAGTAAAAAGCTACATGGAGCAGAACTGAATTACCCAATCCATGACAAGGAAGCCTTAGCGATAGTCACAACCTTGAAGGCGTGGAGGTGTTACCTAGAGAGAGTCAAGACTACAGTCTCCACTGACCACTGCAGTCTCAAATACCTAAAGTTGCAGCCTACGTTCTCACGACGACAGGTGCGGTGGATGGACTTCCTGAAAACCCACTTCCACGATGACATCGTCTACAAGCCAGGGCTACACAACAAGGCCGATGCACTAAGGCCGCCCAGGGCACGTAGCAGGCATCCAGATCGACGGGATGAACCCTCTGCTCAAGGGTCTATTCCAACATGGGTACTTCGTGGACGCAGAGATCGCTACAGCACAGAAACATAAGCTGTTACAATGGGAGAAAGACTTAGCTGTAAGGAAAGGTTCAGGAAAGATTTGGGTACCGAACTGTGCCCCGCTCCGACAGATCTTACTAGAGGAGTTTCACGACGTAGCTTACACGGGACATTTTGGGAGTAACAAGACGTTAGCGAGAATATCCAAGTATTACTACTGGCCCCGGATGGCAGCAGACGTGCAGCAGTTTGTCACCTGATGCGACACGTGCTAGCGGATGAAGAGTAGCAAGCAGAAAAAAGCAGGGTTACTTCAGCCTCTACCCGTACCGGAGCAGCCATGGCAAGTCGTAAGCCTAGACTTCATCACTGGGCTTCTTTGGACCTCACGAGGTTATGATGCTAGACTCGTGGTGGTCGATGGGACATTTCATGGCGACCAACGCCACGGCCACAGCTGAAGCAACTGCTCGTCTCTTCTTCGACCGTATCATCACCATCCACGGCATCCCCGCTACATTCATCTCGGATAGAGACCCAAAGTTCACTAGTAAATTCTGGAGGGAACTCGTGGGTTTGTTTGGGACAAAGCTTGCAATGTCTTCAGCGTACCACCCCCGGACTGACGGACAGACTAAGTGACTCAATCAGGTGGTTGAACAGTTATTGCGCACAGCTTGCAAAGACGACATCAGCCACTGGGATCTACAGTTACCGACGCTTGAGTTTGCTTACAACAACGCGTCACATGCGGCCACAGGGAAATCTCCATTCTTCCTATGCTACAGACGGGAACCACTTACACCACAGCAGCCAACAACATCGGCACACGTCCTAGCCGCACATGACTTCGTCACCACCATGCAGTCGGGTGAGGGTGTGATATGGTGGGTGCGTGTGGTGAGAGGTTTAGGGGTGTTGTGCGCATTTTGACTGCAACATACAAGCTCGACCAAATGCGTTGAGGGGAAGTGTAACTAAACGCCCTGACAAACCCCCAAAGCAAGATCCACATGCCATACCTGGGTTGAGGCAAATAACACTGTGATGGGGTTCCGCAGAACAAGGGTGCGGCCGACCATGTCGTGGGTCGAGCCCCACCTCACAGGACTGTCCTGCACGAGCTTCAACAGCGGTTTGTTGTTGTTGGCCTGCAAGTTCACCCGCTGGAGCCTCAAGAACGCCCCCGAGGGCTGCGGCGAGAAACCAATCTACGACGCCATCTCTCTCATGATCTTCAACACCTCGCGTATGGTCTCCACAGACAGCGCTGCCTGCACTGCAAGGTTTATCACGTGTGCCAAGCACCTGCGCACGGAACACAGCAGCAGTGGCAAGGGGTTGGGGACTTCCATGGTCAATGCCACCCACACACCCACACCTTAACCCACACATTCTCTCACCCAAACCGCACCGCCCCACACCCCCACACAGCGACACGTGGTCAAGGGTTTAGGCACACACCCACACAGGCACACACCCACCCACACACCCAACCCACGCACACTCCCACACATACCGAAAGTGCATGCGAGAGTTGAAGAAGCCCTGACCAGCACCCTCCTCCGACAACCGCCTGAATGTTGCTAGAGGCGTTGTCGGTCGTGAGACCAAGACAACGCTCCTGCAACCCCCGCTGCACCACGGTCTCCTCCACCACCTTCGCCATCTCCTCGCCCCCATGACGCCCGTGCATCTCGCGAAACTCTAGCACGGCCGTGCGCTGCTGAAACGTCTCGTCTATCCAGTGACCCCTCACCACTAGCCATGCCTTGCCGTTGGGTGCTGTACACATGTCGATGCTGTATGACACCTTGCACCCCAACTCCCGCTCCTTCGCCAGCAGCTCCGCAATGGCCGCATGTAGAGCGGCCGTAGCAAACACCACCATGTCGCGGGATACCGTCCAGCGCGAGAGGATGAAGTTTTTCTCCCCGCAGTGGCGGTTGCACAGGATCAACAGCTCCCGAAAATGGAGGGGAAGGGACACAATGAGAGTGAGATGGTTTACGAGGGCAAGGGGATGGAGTGGAGACGGAGCGGCACACGATTACCATCCCTCCATACCATCCTCATCATCTCGTTCAAACCATCCATACCATCCTGTCCAAATCATCCATACCATACTGTCCATTCCCTCCATATAGCCGTCATGTGACACTTACTGCCTCAGCCTCGACAAGGCGGAAGGGAAGGTCGCTGGTGACCACCAGCTTGGCCATCGCCTGTCGTAGCTCCACCTTGGAGAGCTTGGTCGGCATGTAGCGTTCGATCCTACCTGACCCGTGCACCCCTCGCCATGCCTTCCCTTTCTTCTTTGGCAGATTCGGCCAGCTAGTGGCATGCGGCTATTCATCCACATAGCCATCCGGCACACCCATGTAGCCCCCTCGTGGAAACGTCTCGCCAGGCAAGTGAACGTGTGGAGTGTGGTAACGGTGATACCACACGTCCATGTGAGCCGTGTGGTAGCTCTCAAAATGACGCTCGCCTGGTGTTGTAGTGGACCCCCTCCACGAAATCCTATCAGTACAAATCTTGCACTGACGCTTGTCGTCTGACCCTTTAGGCCTGAACATCTGAACTTGCCACACCAGTTTCTTCTTACCCTTGCCACTCACCCTACTACTCTCAAACCCTCCCTCCTCGTCAAGAAACTCAGGAGTGACCACACCCTCTCCCAAGCGCTCCCCAGTGAAGGTGCATGATACACTCGCGGTCTCAACTTGGAAGCTCTCTTCTTCCGCTTCGACCTCCCAATGGACAGTCTCTTTCTCACCACCTTAACCCCCCCGCTCCCACCTCCTCCACCTTCATGCTGTGAGGCCGCCTCCGTCGCTACCACTCCTCTCTCGCCCACCCCCCCCTCCTCCTCCTCTGGCTCCAACCCATCCAACTCGTCGTCTTCATCTCCCCCCCCTTCCCCATCGCCATGCGTCTTGGGCCCCGGCTCAATTTCATCCCCACTCCCCTCCTCGTCCTCATCCTCCTCATCCTCATCTTCCTCGTCCTCCTCACTATCACTCTCTGTTGTGGTAGTACGCGTCTGCCCAAAAGGAGGGGGTCGATTGCCACTGTAACGGAACGAGTGACGGGATCTCAGCACCTGAACGGACAGAAGCCCCCCAACGAAACAAGCACCGGCTCCTGCAGGACCGTCACCTACTCGCCCATGCATAGGTCGTGGTGGAGACGTAGGTGTACAGCCCTGACTAAGCCGTGCACCTCGTTCTGCTGGACCTTGTTGGCGGGAGGCCATTACTCTAAAACGACTACAAAAAACCTAAACCCTATAATGGTAACGAACGAGTGCCGTGGACGCCACTAATGTCCCTCTAATCACGGTCCTAATCTCCCTACGTCTAATCGCACTGAGAAATGTCCGCACCTCCTTGAGCATGGACCGCTCCAATCCGTAAACGCTAGCTAACAACCCTAAACTTCAAGTTATTCATGGTTACCCGTTTATAGTAATAGGTAATGTACGTGTAATGATTCTAAGATGGAGTATTGTGTATTTTAGAGCTTCTAGGTAACGGCGTTTGTGGTCGTTAAGGGGCTGGCGCCAAGGTCGTGATGAGTTTGAGCTCAAAAAATGAGCTCAAACTCAAAGGGTCGCGGGCCAATTTGTCGACGTGGCTCGGCCAGCTGTGAAAGGCGAATGGCGAACGTGTTCGGGCGTACACCGAACACGTTTGCCACGAACAATTTTGGGCAAAAATCGAGGCGAACCGAACAGGAGTTCGTTTCTTTGCTCAACCCTACGAGTTGGGAAGGCATGCAGGGGACGCAACGCATAAAGGATGATAATAAGCAAAGTGAAAGATTTGACGTATGACCAAGGGGGCGAACAAGACGATGCACACCTTACAACTTTGCTTTTTTAGTGGCAAACCTAACTAGCAGTGGCTGTGTTATTAGGCTTGATTCATGTCATGGTTTAGAGGTTTTGCAGCAGAGCACGAATTACTAGTTGCAAACCTGAAATAGATTAATTACTGGTTGAATGTGAGAACAAGAATTGAATTATAAAGAAAAACAACAACATATTTATAGTCGAAGTAAAATACATATTCGATAAAGTACATGTTCACTGTCGAGTCGACTCCCTGAAGCGATATGTTTCTGTGTCACACAAACAGTCACGAGACTGTTCGCGCTACTACCTGTAACTCACGTGAAGAAACACCTGCTACAGTAACATGCACGTATAATAATACTACGATGCTACAATAGTGTTTTTACTATCGAAGTACTGAATTGTATAAGACTTTTCGATTTACTTCCAACAATATCTTCAGCACGTGCATAAGACGTTGCATAAGGCTGGCATATCGTCACGAGTCTTTGCCTCCATAACTTGTTTAATAAGTGCTAATTGTGTATGGACCGCCTGAAGAAAAATCATGAAGTCTTTGCATAAGATGAAAAGATAGTGTGGAATCATGATTTGAGGTACTACACTTCATCACTGAGCACTTCTACACCCTCCATCATCATATTGCTAAGGCCGAGGCAGAGACAAATATAGAGAATGAGGCAGAGGAAGAGTAAGGCATAGGCAGCGCAAGCATAGGCAGGGGCAGAACGAAGCAACAGCAGACAGGGACAGGGGCAGAACAATGCAGCAGGAGATAGAGACAGAGGCAGAGGTAGACAGCCTGGAGCGGCACGCACAAGAAAGGAGCCAGCCATCCCACCTCGCTCGCAAGGAGCAAGCCAGCCTGCGGCAAAGGCGAAGGCAAAAGCAGATTCAGACACGGATGTAGAGGCAGCAGCAGAGGGAGGCGGAGGCAGAGGCACGGACAGAGACAGAGACAAAGACAGAGACAAATGAAGAGACACAGGCAGAGGTAGGCAGCGGCAGAGGCACAGACACAGATAGAGACAAAGACAGAGACAGAGGAGCAATAACAAACAAAGGCAAACACAGGAGTAGGGGCAAAGATTGTAAGAGAGAGATAATGAGAGAGGAGGGGAAGGGAGTAGCAACTATCAACACGTAAAACCCAATGTCGGGATGATCACTGTTCACTTAAAGAGGCCTCTGCATTTGTTGTGTCTTGCGCCATTGACTTCTCGATGTTCTCGCTACTAGCCAAATCGACCAGCTTGAGAGTGTAGTGTGTCTCCTCTTCAATGGCCTGCATATGAGTCGAATGGCCACTTTGAAAGAAGTTATGATATCAATTTGTGCTTGTGATGAAGCTCGCGCGTTAAAAATTGCACGCATACCTTGTTTGTGCCAATCTAGTCAACTGTAGAAAAAGCATGACTAGGAGAAGAGTCTGAATTCACTGCAGATGCTGCAACAGCCCTGTAACAGAGAAGCAGTATGATAAATACATTACTTGCTATTGTACGAAAAAAAATAAGACTAGAGAATTAATTGTACCACATTTCTTCTTGTATCCAAATGCGAGAACTTCTTTCGCCTTCTCCACGGACGAAAGAGAAACAATGTTGAGCCCAACAAGGATAGGCTCATCATCCCTTCAATAGGGCGGGTGATGGGGGGGGGGGGTGGGAGGGGAGCGTGCGCGGCGGGGTGGGTGGGGTGGGGGAAGAAGGGGGGGGGGGGGGGGGCGGGTGGAGGAGCGGTGGGGAGGGTGCGGGGGGCGCGGGCGCGGCGGGGCGGGTGGGGGGGGAGGGAGGGGGGGGGGGGGCGGGTGCGGCGGGGCGGGTGGGGGAGGGGGAAACGGCAGGGGGGGGGGGGGGTGGGGGGGGGCGTGGACGCGGCGGGGCGGGTGTGTGGGTAAGGGGGGGTGGGGGTGGGGGATCGGCGGGGTGGGTGGGGGGGCGTGGGCGCGGCAGGGAGGGTGATTGGGGGGGGGGGGGGGGGCGCTGCGGGATCGGCGGAGCGGGTGGGGGGGGCGCTGCGGGATCGGCGGGGCAGGTGGGGGGGGGGGGGGGGGGGGGGGGGGGCGGGTGGGGGGGGCGCGGGTGCGGCGGGGCGGTTGGGGTTGGGCGAAAATCACACAAAGAAGGAAAATGAGGATGCAATCCAAGGTACCATGCACTCACGTGAGCTGCATTTGCTATGGCACGCAATTCAGGTAAGATTTGCAAGATTCATATATTGTGTGCTTGTATGAGACGCGAGTAATAAACGACTTCCATTCATCATGCCCAATGTGTATCAAGCACCATCCATAGAGGGAGTGGCAACGACATGGGGACTGAACTGCCAGATGCGCCAGCTGTGGGCATTGTGGTGAGTGCAGGCATAGATGCTGATGAGGGCATAGCCAGAGCTCCTGGAAATATTGCGGTGGCTACACCCACACCGAATTCGAGAACGACTCCAGATCGGCCAGTGCAAGGGTGAGACTAGTGAGTGAGGTGGTTGAATGTGCATGATGTCATTATGCACCATCTTACATGTCATTTCATCCATTGCAAACCTCTCCTCCCCTTGATGTCCACTAGGCCTGCCAACAGCCACCGATGGGCAGTTAGGCGTGGGAGTGTCCCTAGGCACTGGCCTTCTGTTCCGATCGTGGATGACATCGACGGGTAACGGGTATGTCTTATCGAGCCACAAAAGTTGGTTTGGTTCTTCCAAGGGTGTCGTTGGTGTGTTCACATCAGCGCGCGTGTACTGAGGCCATGACATTGAGGTCATGGAAATTCTCACGGGCATCGGTTGGCATGTTTTGGAGATGTGACGCATGCTCGCATGGAGTAGAGTTAGGTCATGTCCGAGCTGGCGTATTGAGAGAACAAGGACCGGTGTAGGCGCATCCGTTCACCGATTCTACAGTTCGATTTTGTTGGTGCTTTTGCTTTAGCTGGAATGGGGTATCAGCAAATGTGGGAGTTTTGTCGCAACTTCGGCATTCCAGCATCTGGTAAGGGCACATTCTAAAAGTATTTTGGTGATGTTAATGGGCTATGAAATGCTATACTGCGAGAGGCTGATAAGTCAATGGCGGCGGTATGAGAGGAGATGATGAAGCAAGAATTCATTGGAGAATATGTAGTGGTCGATGGTCGGTGGTCACATGTTCGAGAGGGAGAGTGGTGTACATCACATGTTCAAGAGGGAGAGTGGTGTACAATATCGTTCTTGGATTTACCATGTAGGAACATAATGTACTGTGCCACGATACGGAAAGGGGTGGACGACACCTCATCGGTGCGGCTGGAAAGGGTGGCTTTCGATAAAGGTTTAGATGAGCTAGTACAAAAAGGATTTACGGTGTAAGATATAATCTCTGATCAAGGGTCTACTTTTTGCGAGGCAACATCCGAAAGGGAATTGAACCACCAGGTGGACTGGTGGCATGTGAAGCGGACTCTTTACAATATGTTTCTTAAAGAACTTCAGGACCTGGATCGTACACCGGTGGCTGTGGACAAGGCGAGCTGTATTGAGGATCTATGGCTTGTGACTGTCGACGGGCTACGGAAATGGCTGAAAGCACGGGGGTTGGTGAAAGAGTCGAAAGCTTCTTTGAAAGAGGCTTTGGTGAAATCGGTTTGTGATGCCATGGGCACGATTGTTTGCAGCAAGATGACTCCGACTGAGGCAAAGTGGAAGTATCCCAAGATAAGAAAGGTGGTGCGGATGGGCGGGGAGTGTAGTACGGTGGAGATGGTTGTGAGCTACGGTGAGGTGCCTGGTGCTTCTGATGCTGAGGTGCGGGAGCCGGATGAGCAAGCTGAGCGGGTTGCCGTGGACGTGCCGACACCAGACGAGGGGCATGTTGACGTTCAGTGGGAGGACGTGGAGGAGCTATGGAGTTATGATGTGCACTCGACGCAGGGTGCGAGACCCGCATCTTTGGCGAGCACCCTCATTATGCTTGCGCACGCGGGAGCAAACGAAAACCCTCATTTCATCGGCGGCACTACTCCTTGGGCCAACATCAACACGGAGATCGGTATGCATACTCAGGATCCCTTTTTCTTTCTTTTTATACATTCACAGAGGCGCTTGGTGGAGGCGGAGCTGATTCCGAAGTGCAGAACCACAATGCTTTCTGCGAGCCAGAAGACATTGCCTCGGTGGATTGGTCGCCGAAAGCGGAAACGGGGTGAAGACCAGATCGATTATGGCAAGAAAGAAGAAACGGTGGCACAACTCTTCTCATCCCATTTCTATCACATCATGATGTGGTGTGGTGTGAAAAATAAAGCGGCCATAAAACCCCGACCGAGGTGGAGAGGGAGCTT